AGTCTTGGTGCTTCCACTGTCGTTCCGTCGCCAGACGCCTCTGCTTCACTTTCCTTCACCTTGGACTCTGGCGCTTCTCGGTGTTTCTTCCGCGACTCCACCACCCTGACGCCGCTCCCTGTTCCTGCTGCCGTTTCTCTTGCTGACCCCTCCGGCGGTCCGGTAGTCGCCCGCAGTTCCACCACCCTTCCCTGTCCGGCGGTTCCTTCGGGCACTCTCACAGGTCTGCATATCCCCTCGTTCTCCAGGAACCTAGTTGGTGTCGGCTGCCTCCAGGACCTTGGCGTCACCACTACGTTCCCTGGTCACGAGCGGTATGCTGTCTGTACCGAGGCCTCCTCCGTCCTCCCTTGTTGTTGCACCCCCCCCGCTGTCTGACTACCTTCGTGCCGCTCATCCTCTTGTTCCTCTCGTCCTTGCCTCTCTCGTTACCGACCCGTTTGTTCCGGCCTCGTGCCTTGACGCCCTTGTCGCTGCTGTCGCTAACTTTGCCTCTACCCGCCGCCTTGACTACGCCTCCGCTCAGGTCTCTGACCCTGCCTGTCCTCCGTCTGTCGGGGGTGCTCCTGCCCTTGGCAGTGACGTCCTGGAGCACCGCCTGTTCGAGCTTGCTTTCCTCTCCGAGGCTGCTCCCCATCTCTGTTCCATGCTGCTAGTCCCTGAGGGTGACCCAGACGCTTTCGACATCCCGACCCCTCGCACTTACGCTGAGGTGACTTCGGGACCCTGGGCCTCGCAGTGGATAGCTGCCATGGAGCAGGAGATGGCATCTTGGAGATCCACCGGCACCTTCGTCGACGCAGTTCCCCCGCCTGGGGTGAACGTAGTCGATGGCCGCTGGCTCTTCAAGGTAAAGCGCCCTCCTGGAGAGCCGCCTGTGTTCAAGGCGCGCTACGTGGCTAGAGGCTTCAGTCAGCGCGAGGGGGTGGACTTCTTCCAGACCTTCGCTCCGACCCCGAAGATGACTACTCTTTGGGTTCTGTTACACCTAGCTGCTCAGCGTGACTACGAGCTTCACTCTCTCGACTTCTCCACTGCCTTCCATCAGGGCAGCCTACACGAGCAGGTCTACCTACGTCGCCCTCTGGGCTTTACTGGCACCTTCCCTCCTGGGACCCAGTGGCTCCTGCGGCGCCCCGTCTACGGCCTGCGCCAGGCTCCCCGTGAGTGGCACGACACTCTCCGTGCTACGCTTGCTGACCTGCAGTTCTTTCCGTCTTCCGCAGACCCTTCACTCTTTGTTCGTGCTGGCCAGACTCCGTTCTACATCCTTGTTTACGTCGACGACCTGGTCTTTGCCACAGCAGACAGGGACGCACTGGCCTTCGTGAAGGCAGAGCTGCTGAAGAGACACACCTGCACTGACCTTGGAGAACTGCGCCATTACCTTGGCTTGCAGATCTCCAGGGACAGAGCTGCGCGCACCATCACCCTGACTCAGTCACACTTGGTGCGCCAGGTCCTTCAGAGGTTCAGCCTTCAGTTCTCCTCTGCACAGCCCACCCCTCTGCCTGTAGACCACAGGCTCTCCGCTCCAGTGTCTGAGGAGTTGGTAGAGCCCAGCGGCCCCTACGCAGAGCTGGTGGGTTGCCTCATGTACCTGATGACTTGCACTCGCCCAGATCTCGCATACCCTCTCAGCATCCTGGCTCGTTTTGTGGCCACAGGCAGACACCGACCGCAGCACTGGTCTGCCGCTAAGAGGGTTCTGCGTTATCTTGCTAGTACATCGGGCATGGGGTTAGTGCTAGGAGGACGCAGGCCAGTGGTCCTTACTGGACACACAGACGCTTTGTGGGCAGACAACGCTGAGACACTCAGGTCTACCCAGGGCTACTGCTTCAGCCTTGGCTCAGCTGCCGTCTCGTGGAGAGCTACCCGCTCCTCGTCTGTGGCGCAGTCCAGCTGTGAGGCTGAGATCTATGGTGGTGCCATGGCGGCACAGGAGCTCCGCTGGCTGACCTTCTTGCTCACTGACTTAGGTGAGCGGCCTAGCTCTGCCCCGGTCCTGTTCGCTGACAACAGGGCCATGATCCTCCTGTGTCAGGAGCCTCGACTCGAGGGCAGAGCAAAGCACATTCAGCTGCGGTACTTCCTCCTGCGTGAGCTACAGCAGCGACGTCAGGCTCGCGTAGTACACTTGGCCTCAGGTGCCAACACGGCTGATATCTTTACGAAGGCGCTTGCGCCTAAGGATAATCAGCGGCACTGTGTACAGCTTGGTCTAGTTCCTGTAGCCTCTCACTTGCTAGGACCTTGACTTTGTACTGTCCTTTATATGTATACTCAGACTAGAATTGTGTCCTCTCCCAGTGGCTGGACTAGTAGTGCCGCCCTGCTCTTGTTCTTGCCTTGTCTGTACTCCTTCTGACTGGTCTCTCAGACCCTTGTCTCAGAGGTTGGACTAGTAGTGCCGCCCTGAGCTGCTTGTTTAGGACATTCCCCTATGCAGTCTAGGGGGTGTTTCAAACATGTGTATTTGTCATGTTTGTATAGACTGTATAGGGTAGCCTCTTAGAGGGTACAACACTTAGGTATATCTGTGTGTACCCTCTCTCTAACATTATTCACTTCTTCAATTCTTATAGATATAGCCTATTATGGAACGCCGATTTTCCTTGTCTCCCGCGTGGTCGGCGTCGACATAGCCGAGTAGTTGTACGGACGTTGGTCTTACTTTGCTGTAGGTGAGTCCGACTGTCGGCGTAGAGACAAAGTAGAGCAGTGCCCGATTCAGCTCTTCGAGATGCTCTTGCTCCAGCTGCTTCAGGTGTGTCGCTATTTGGCTAGCGCTGTAGGACAGATCCGGTCGGCAGGTTACTGCTGCTAACAGGAGGCAGCCGAGCTTCTGTTGGTATTCCTGGATTTGCTTAGTGGGGAGCTTCGCGGAGGTGTCGCTGTTGTCGTTCCCGTAGCGATAGGGAGTTGCGGCTGCGATCGGCGTTAGTCCGAACTTCTTCGCGACGACGCCTGCGTATTTTCCGGCGTGTAGGTAGAATGCCGAATCGTCTTCGACGACGTTCAGCCCTATATATCGAGTGACGGTGTCTGACACCGTGAGTGTTAAGTCACTCTTCAGCTCCCCTTCGAACCAGGTGACGACGTTGGTGGTGGAGCCGACGTAGAGCAGGTCATCAACGTAGACCATGAGTAGGACGAAATCGCTCCCCTTCTGCAGTCGGTACATCCCTTGGTCGTGCGGCAGCTGCAGGAAGCCGAACCTGACGAGGCGGCCGTGAAGGTGCTGCTGCCAGAGCCGCGGGGCTTGTTTGATTCTGTAAAGGGATTTTATCAGTTGGCACACTTTTATGGGATCGTCGATGAAACCGTGGGGCTGCTCAACGAAGATCTCCGCGTCCATCTGAAAGCGTTGGCCACGTCGATCTGCCGCAGTGGTAACTTTTTCGTGGCCACGACGGCGAGTAGAATGCGCAGTGAGGTATGTCGGGAGACTGGGGCGAATGTCTCCGTGTAGTCGGTTCCGTATCGCTGATCGAATCCACGTACGACCCAGCGAGCTTTGAAGCGGTCGATGGAGCCATCCGCGTTGGTCTTGATTCAGTACACCCACTTCCACGAGAGCACATTCCGCCCGTTGGTCTTTGTTGCAGGGACTAGTTTCCATTTGTTTCGGTCTTGCAGGGCCTTCAGTTCCTTTTCCATTGGTTCCTTCCATTTCGCCTTGTGTTCCCCCCCCCAGAGCCTGCGACAGAGTCGTTGGCTCGCGTGGTGACAGCGGCGGCGGGCTCTGGATGGCGACTCATAGTCCAAGTATCTGCAGGCACGTGGGTGTGTGTCGAAGGGAATTTTCATTCCCGGGATAAGCTGCTCCGTCGCCATCTTCAGGATCAGGTAAGGAATTCGGTCCGATGCGTTCAGAGACATTTGTGTCAACCGTTTGAGTGTAGTGTAGCCCTGGTCAGCAAAGTGGTGGAAGGTGTAGAGGTTCGTACTATCGAGAGGGTTGTTGTCGTCAAGTGGAACGGGCACGGAGCAGTAAGGGAGTGGTCCGGCTGCTTCCGAGGCTTCAGGTACGTCTTCTTCTGCTGCGTCAGTTTCGGCAGCACGGTCGGCGAAGGACCGATGGCCCTCGAAGCCGTCGGTGGGGTCTGCGGTATTGGCGATGTTGTCCAGGTAATGCTGCAGCATCAGTCTCTCGTAGAAGATTACATCACGTGAGGCCATGGTGGTTTTGTCCTGGATGTCGAAAAGTTTCCACGCGTGAAAATGTTTTGTGATGCCAAGGTGTAGTCCCCACCGTGCTCGTTGAGAAAATCGTCCTGCTCGGGCTGTGTGGGGTCTGTACTGTACCATGCAGCCGAATACTCGAAGTAATTTTGTGCTGCCCAGTTTTCCTGTCCACAGCAGGTGTGGTGAAGTGTTGTTGGGAAGTGATGACGAGGACAGCAAGTTGTGGAGGTGGACTGCATGCGTCATCACTTACTCTGATACCATGTTGGGCTGAGAAAAAGCCCTAGGATCTTTTCAGAGACTAAGTCCCACTTCCATGAAGTGCTTGAGTAGTGCAGCGGAAGTGTTGAGTAGTTGAACCCTTGCACTAGTATGTGAGAGCAAGTGATTGATTAAAAGAAACAAGCATACAACAATATATAGAAAATTAGAGTTGAATCAGTTGTAGAATACAGTTGAAGAAACAGTTATCGAGTCGCACAGCGACTCGATTGTCTGTTCAGCTACCATTCTTGCAGTCGCAACGGACAATCGCAACATCCGGTTGCAACCCTTAGAGTCCCTTCGCTCTTTCGTATTCTTTCGTCCAACCTCCTCGTGTAACCTCCGTTGACTCGCGTACCCGATACGACTTTCCTCAAGTGTATTGTGACACTTTAGAAACACTGGTCTTCGAGGTATTTCCAACAATCCTCGTGTCCATTTCTTGCAATTAGCGTATTTCCATGTACTAATGAGCACGCTGATTTTGAGCTCGCAAGACGATAGGTAGTTGCGCGTACTCGTCTGACAACCTCTGCTTGGCCCGTTAACATCCACATGGTCAATAGCAGTCGAGCCCCTTACTGATAAGGCCTCATTGTGGGAGGAATGGCATCTCCCACCAGTAGTGGTACTTGTACACGCTATCGACCTCTCCCAGATGAAAATTGAAGATGACCTTGTGAACCACCGTATGCTGATTGAAAGAAACGTAGACGGAGGAGAAAAAAAAAAAAAACAAAAAAAAACACACACACACACACACACACACATTATTGACGTTGGCGCGATGAAAATCTTCATCATCGATGGCTCACAGAACACCTAAGTAACAATTTTCTGGATTTTTGCATCGTCGGTCTCCTTTCCGTGTTCTTGTCTACCAGAAATCGACGTGTGATTGGTTAACGATACCCCACTGTCAATACGTGAAAATAGCGAGTTGAATGAATAAAGTGTGGCTTCAAATTTGACTTCAATGTGTTAAACATAGTTAGGTAGGAAGAGGAGCCATGGAGATGGCGCGAGGTTTTAGGTGCGAGAGAAATATCAAGAGAGAAGAGAGTTTGGACTACAAGAGAGAGGGGTACAAGAAGGGGAGTTGTACCCTCTACAATAGGATCCAATAACACCTACCAAGCCTACAATTATATATACATAATATATCATTTGTCACACCCCCTAGGCTTGGTAGTGATAAGCCCATCCCACCCGCAACACCCCAACATCCTTGCACCCCCATTCCCTACAATAGCAGTGGCGTCGACCAGCCGGTCGACCCCTCGGCAATCGAGGTGGCGACGTCGACGGCGGGTCACAGTGGCGGCGGCGGTGTCAACGACTGCGTCAGCGGCGGTGGCAGGGTGTGCAGCACCTGCGGCGGCGGCGGCGGCGTCGAGGCATCTGGCGACAGCTTCTGCGGCACGCTCAACCTGCAACGACGAGGGGGAGGATGGCACGAGGTCGCCAGCAGCTGCGGCAGAGAGGAAGGGAAAGGCAGAGGAGGGGGAGGGTGAAGGGGTGGGGGGCGGATCTTCAGCGCGGCGCCATGGATGGCGTGGCGCTTATTGGCATGCGGGCGGGCTGGATGCGGCTAACACAGTGCGCTGGTGCGTCGACGCCGCTGCGACAGCACGATGAAGCTGCCACCGCTGGACGTCGACGCCACAGCAGCGCGACGAGGCTGCCACGGCAGCAGCGTCGAGACCGTCGCGGCAGCACGACGCGGTCGGCGGCACGACGACGCCGCCACAGCAGCACGAGAGAGAGAGAGAGAGAGAGAGAGAGAGAGAGAGAGAGAGAGAGAGAGAGAGAGAGAGAGAGAGAGAGAGAGAGAGAGAGAGAGAGAGAGAGAGAGAGACAGAGAGACGGAGAGAGAGAGACAGAGAGACAGAGAGAGAGGAGAGAGAAAGAGAGAGAGAGAGAAAGAGAGAGAGAGAGAAAGAGAGAGAGAGGGAGAAAGAAGGGTTCAAGTGCGCGTTTTTATTAACAGAGTTGGAGTTCTTGCCGTACGTCATCTCAACGGGGGTATTCAAGTAGACATAAGAAAAAATGGAATATTGAGGAGTAGAAACTCCCAGAAAATCTACAAGGGCTAAAATATTTTCGAAGTTTTGTAAATTACGTGCGGCAGTTTACACCAATTATGGCGAGATTAACAACCTTGCTGACCGACCTACTTCAGAAGGGCACTGATAATGAGTAGGGTTTCAAAGCTGCAAGCTGCGTTCGGCGCGTTCAAAAATACTTTAACGTTGCCACCAGTACTTTGACCTAGAGCAACCCTTAGAAGACATGACAGCCACAAGCTTCATCGCCGTCAGAGCAGTACTCTTGCAAGATTTCGGCGATGACCTTCAGTCATGCAAGCTACAATCAGTCGAGCACAACTACCCAGTACACGACGAAGAAATGTTGGCGATTGTGCATGCGCTCGATCTCTGGCGACGCTACGTGATAGTCAGGATGGACGATAATTCTCCACAATACCTAAGGGCGCAGCCAAAACCTCAACCTGCACCAGATTCGCTAGTTGAATTGTCTGGAGTCGAACTTCACATACCGGATCCAGTATAAGAAGGGTGCCAACAATATCGCCTTACCCTTTAAAGACCCTCTGCATAGATAACTACAGTACTAAACACCCGAACAAGCCCATTGTTTAGTAGAATATCTACCCAAGGATATTTGAGTCACCCCTTTTTCGTAAGCGACATCCATCAGCAAGTGACGGCTATGAAAGACGCCTATTCGTAAAAGTGGGGATTGATCGATTTGGGTTCCGAGTTATCGAATTTATAACTAAAAAGGTCCAGAACTTGAATTAATCGGGACATGTCGGGGTTGACAAAACCCTGAAGGCAATTACTGGCCTAGAATAATGACTGATGTGCAAAGATACATGGCAGCGTGTTCGATCTGCCACGCGATGAAGTCGGCAAGTTAGACTGTTGCAGCTCCTCCAGCCACCCGAGCGAGCATGGCAACGTGTGACAATGGATTTTGTTACATGTCAGCCGGACGGTCTGAGCAGAATGACATTGGATTGGTTGTCTTAGATTGAATAATGGAAGTGGATAATTTTGCGCCATGTTGCACGACGATCACAGCCGAAGAAACTGCTCGCTTCTTCTTCTCGATCGTTGTTCGCGTGCATGGTATCCCTTCGGCGATCACCAGCGACCGAGATCCGAAGTTCACGTTCAGATATTGGCAGGATGTGCAAACCCAGTACATCACGCGGCTACAGTTTTTGTCTGCTTATCATCCCCAAAGGACGGCTAGATGGAGCATACCAACCAGACTATAGAGAAGTTGATATGCACGAGTTGCCCTGACCTCAGCAAGTGGGAGGACACGCTGCGAAGATTGAAATTCAATTTCCAAGATTGCAGCAATTTGTCGAAGAAAGTCAAGCAACCTGGGACAAAGCTATCGGATTTATTCAAAAATCTACAGTGGCGGAAACAATTGTCCGTATGTTTTGCATTAATTTGGGCTTCTAGGATTTAAGACCACTATACATTAAGCCTTAATTTTAATGTTTGTACGATTTAGGAGGGGCACATAGTGGATGTGTTGATGGCATAAAATACAGAATAGTACATTGGATCCAACTCATATTCCAGAACATATACAAAGGGTACATCTGGACAAATAGTTCCAAGCACAGAGAGCAAGCTTCATAATTGCGTTTCTGGTACCTAGCCCACCGACCTTTGGCCTTCATCACTGCCCGCACCCTTCTAGGAGTGCTGTCAATTAGGCTAGAGCAAACCTCGGCATGGATCTTCTCCCATTCTTCATGTACCAGGTCCCAAAGCTTCCCGCATTCCAGAGGAAGGCCTTTTATGCTTAGCCAGCTCCCTTTTCAGGAAAGCCCAGAGGTTGAGGTTTGATGAGGAAGAAGGCCACTCCATGGCTACATACTCATGTTCTCCATGTCATTCCTGCACTGGGCATAACAAATCCTTGAGCCATTGTCCGCACCAAAATGACCTCAGAGGGGAAAATGCTATAGAATTTGAGGGTCGATTTGAGTTCATCATGCAAAATGCCCTCATACAGGGCCTGTTCATGCGCCCGTCAATCTTGTATATGAACCCCACTCTCGCACATGTCATACATCCCCACACCCATCACTGATCCTTGTCCCCATGGTTTACCGTCTGTTTGTTTTTGTGGTGCTGCACGGTTGTGCCCAAGCGTCTGTTTTTTTTTGTTTACCCAAACGCCAACACCCCCACCAGTTTATAGTGCCGATTTGGGCTATCGATCATTCCTGCTGAATAAGGGGGGTGAACCGGTTGATCTCCCTGTGCTAGTTGAAGGAAGAGTTAACGACACCTACATCAAAATATTTGTTGATGCTGGGGCAAGCCACAGTTTGATGGATGTGACAAAGGCGAAGAAACTCCAATTGCAGCTGGAACGTTGCATGCCCGAAATCGACGCGAGGTTGGTTGACGGCACCCCACTAGCGATTTGGGAAAGCATGCCTCACGTGCGAGTCACCTGTGACGAAAATTTCAGTTTCACGATGAAGATGCTGGCGACCACTTTGGACGGGTGCGACATGCTACCGGGACGCGATTGGCTACGCGAATACAACCCGAGCATCGACTGGCGAACGGGCGATTGTCGCATAAAGTGGAGTGGCGAGTGGCGACGGCTACCCAAGTGGAGCAGTCAATACTCGATAACATCGACGGTCAGCACAGTGACCATAAAGCGCGCGATGATTTGAGGAGCGCAGCTGTATGCCGTCTGATGGATCGCATCCACGGCTGTCGACACGCCGACTGACATCGACAAAGTTTGCGCAACTGTACCGGATGATTGGCAACGGTGATTCAGAAGCACTCCGACATTTTTCCAGACGACCTACCGGCGGGCTTGCCATCTCAGCGGCCTCATGACCACAAAATCGACACTCGCCTGCCAGCTAGTTCAAAAGGTAACGACGCGATCCAAGTCGTTGTCGACCGGTTGACCAAAATGGCCCATTTTGCCATCTGCAAGACGACAATTACTGCAGAGGAAACTGCGAAACTATTCCTCATGAACATCGTGCGGCTACACGGCAATCATTAGCAATCGTAACCGACGGTTCACGTCCAACTTCTGCACAAAAACATGGCAGCAGTACGGCATGCGTCTACATCTGTCCACGGCGTACCACCCACAATCGGACGGTCAGACTGAGCACACCAACCAGACGATAGAGCAGCTGATTCACACGACATGCACTGACCTGGCCCAATGGGAAGATGCCCTTCCCCTGATCGAGTTTGCGTACAACAATGCCCATCGGCCACGACTACTTAGTCCCCGTTCTTCCTTCATCACGGGATAGATCCGACAACCCCTCTATCACCACCGATAGAAAATCCGGCACCAAGGTCGCAGCAGTTCGTCGAAAATCTCTGACAGTCTCAGCAAAAAGCCGCCGATGCCATCGTAAAAGCCAACCAGAGGGCTAAGCAGCAAGCTGACCGACGACGCCGAGACCTAACACTTGTCTTGGGCAATTGGTCTTGCTCAGTACCCGAGCCGACGACAGCGCCGTCGAAGATCTTCGCTCATCGTGTACGGGGACATCGAGACACAGCAGCCGTCGATTTCCTTGTACGCTGGGTCGATGGCACAAGTCACGACGACCCTTGGGTTCCCGCAGCCACGCTCAGTGAAAGCAGAGTTGTTTGAGACTATTTACACCGACGACGTGCCCCCGATGTGGGTAATCTTATCCCGGAAGGGGGGGTGGTGTAAGGAAATTCCCTTTTCCTTAATGGGCTCGACTACAGCGTGTACGCCCTCGACTCTCGGAAGTTCAGGCTCGGCCACCTTCTTTGGTCCCGAACCACTTCGCGAACACAAACCTATACGCATGACGCTTTCGTAGCTTTCGCCAACCGGACCACCCCAACCTGTTCGCGTGGTTCTCGGCTAGCTCAGTTCGTGCCTATAAATGCATAGGCCCTCATTTGTATCGACACTCTTGAATCACGACTCCATTATTACACTACCTGTTATTACTCTGATATATTCATAACAGGTTACTTCGAATGTAACGGATACTTGGAGTGTTTCGATATGGAGTGTTCGGGTAACAGCCCTCGCGACCCACTTGTAAGGAATTAGTAATTCCTTACTGAGGCTTGCTAAAAGGCGTACGACTCGAACATTCCCGAACCAGCGATAGGGTTCCAGACCTTTCAGTTCGAGCCTCCTGGGCCTTTCCGGACCTCGCTTCGACACATCGAGGCCCTTCGACAACTTTCCTTAACCGTCCGATCCTACGTCCAGGATCACCCTACGTTTCCTATATATTGTTGTCTTTCATTTTTTTGTCATTCACGGTTTCGCTGTTGCCCTCCGCGCTGCTCGGCAATTCCATTCATAACATGGCTTCGTAGCCCGAACCAAGGCATGATCAGCTTTGGTTTCGTGGCACCTTCTCGTTCGCCGATGAGGTGGCATGTTTAGACTCGTCGTGGGCTCGTTGGGGCAACTAACCCCGTCGTGAACCTCACCTCCCCCTATCAGACGGGCCCTTTCCTAACTCTCCACCACATGTGTTTTTCGACCAAATCGAATGCCATGCTCGGTTCAGTTGATCCGCGTGGCATCGCACACCGTCGCCAGTTATCCGAAGCAGGGCCGAAGTTTCAAGGGTAATTTTTCGGAGTAAAATAACATTAAGAGTGAGTTTTGGCTTGATTCCGGAAATGGAATGGGTAGTTATTTCCGGGAACCCGGAATCTTTACAAGTGCGTGAGGGGAGTTTTCCGGACGAAACTGAATTCTCGGAGGGGGCATTCCGGACGACCCAGCCTCTAAGGTTCCCCAACCCAACCCCCAACCACTACCCCCTTCCCTGCCGTGGATTCGATGTCCTCCTTGACAGATATTCCTCCACCACCACGACGAGCAAATATCGGCTAAGTCCATCACAGCCAGAGACATCACTCCACATCTCTCGCAGCACGGCAATTTTCGCTGTCCCCACACCCCTGGTACATTCGACCAGCAATTTTCGCCAAGTCCCCACCAACAGTCTCACTTTAGATACATTCGACCCACACCCCTCGCCACGTGAAGTCCCTCACAGATAGAAGACATCCCTTCCACACCCCGTACACACGTATCTCACACACCCTCCCCACATCCCTGAGTGTTGTCAACCGGCGCAGCTCTGGTGAGAACAGGTTCGGCAGAATCCAAACCTCGGTGCGGCTAAACGTAAGTAGTTAGTTAGGGATAGTTTTGTGAAAAATTCAGGCTCTTTCACACCAAATCATTCTGCCCAGTCTCTCCCTAAGTGTGGAATCCAGGAAGTAGTGTTAGACCCAAATACTGATGAAACCGAATTCAAAGTCCCCCGAATCTGGACGAAACAGAGTGCGGGGAGGGGGGGTTTCCCGGAGAAACAGAGTATTGAAAAAACCTTAGCTTCGGCCCTGATCTGAAGCTGTCTCGGCTCGACGACACATTCCACTGGATGGAATCTCTCGCATCACCGCCTAACGATCCAGCCATGCGGTGTGTGACCATTCTGAGCCTCATCACGAACCATGTGCTGCTGCCTTTTCCTCCACCCATCCCCCTACTCCCCCCTTTGCCGTTCGTGCTGGCCAGATTCGCTCCCGGCCGCTCCCTTTGCCCCCATCCCCCATGCACATCACCACACCACGTGCGCCAGCTGAGTTCCTCATCCACTTTACTGTCAGTCAGTGCTGTTGTCACACAAAGCACGACGCACCTGCTCTGCCTGGTGCAACCAATACGAGCTCTGCCTTTCTTTGGTGAGATCAGCAGCTCCTACGCCATAACCTGCGACACTCCGTCGGCCATCTGGTCTCTCGCCCATTGCTGCACTCGCCATGGCTGCTCAGGCTGTCTCCACTGTGAGTGTGCGTCGCAATGGTCGGCATTGCCTCGTTTCAAGTTGCACCGTTCTGCTCGCTGCTCGCTGCTCGCTGTCAGCACCGCCCTGGATGGCAGCTTCTCTGTTCTCCGTGAATGCCTGGAGGCGCGCTTCACCCAATTGCCCAATTCCTTCACTCTTCTCTGGTCCCTCCCACGTAACCGCAACCGTTTGCCTACCCTCCTTCCTCCCTACCATTCCCTCGCTCAGTCCTCCACTTCCTCCCTCTCCTCTCTCCTATCCTCTCCTCTCCTCACCTCTCCTCACCTCTCCTCTCCCCTCCTCTCCCTCCCCGACCCTCGCAGCTTGCCCACAGAATGCCAGTGGCGCCACGCGCTCTCTCCGCCACGGCGGCGGTGCGCGCGTCGCTGGATGCGCGCGTGCTGGAGAGCAAGTCGCTGGGGGAGCTGCGCGCGCTGGCGCGCCAGCGGGGGCTGCGCGGCGACACCAAGGCGGAGCTCGTGAAGATGCTCAGCAGGCAAGCCCGCGGGGTCGCACCCCGGCTGCTATGCTCTCCGTTGCTAGCGCGCTGCACGTTGATTATGGGTTATGCGCGTCACGTGAAACAGGGCATGTCGCGTCAATGCTTTCCATGCTCCAGGCCGCGGCGAGTCCTTGCCGTCTGCGCTGCAGAAAGTGGCGCCCAGACTGTCCAGCTAGTATAAGCGCAGCAGCGAGGCTTGAAGGCCGCGTATCATCATCTGTCGCGAGAACTGGTCCACTCCCACCACTTCCCACGTGTCGCCGCTCCCTTTTCCCACCACCACTGTCCTCTCTTTCTTGCATCGGCTTCTCCCTAACACATGGCCTGCAATTGCGTTGCCCTAATCCCACATACCCCCTGTCTTTCCGCCCGGCTGCAGCGGAACAAACGGTGCAGTTGCCGCCACGCCTGCCGCGCCCGTGGCGGCGGCGGCCGCGCCGTCGGGGGCGGGTCAGTCGGCGCTCGCGCGGCAGTTAGAGGTGATGCCGCTGGGGCAGCTGCGCGCGATGGCGCGGAGCAAGGGCATCTTCGGCAGCACCAAGGCGGAGATCGTCGCCGCGCTGACGTGAGTGGCGGGCGCCCATGGCTTGCTGATGGAATCGCATGCCTTGCTGATGGGGTCGCATGCCTTGCTGATGAGGTCGCATGCCTTGCTGATGGGGTCGCATGCCTTGCTGATGGGGTCGCATGCCTTGCTGATGGGCTCGCATGCCTTGATGTGTGCGATCATCACATCCCGCCGTGCGTGTGAACCCCTACACTGGAGCAGCCGTTGCGTTGCGTTTTGCTTACCAAGCCAGCTACCTTCTCTCTTCTCCCGCCTTCCCCCCCGTCTTCTCCCCGCCATTCCGCGTCAGAGCCGCGTCCGGTGCGCCTGCCGCTGCACCCTCTGCCTCCCCGCCGGCCCCTGCTGCGCAGTATTCCGCGGCTGCGCCGTCGGCAGCTGCCCCCGCGCCCAGCAACAGCAGCGAAGGCGGAAGCAGCGCGCAGGCGCGGCTGCTGGCGGCGAAGCCCGTGGCGGTGCTGCGCGCCATGGCGCGGCAGAAGGGGCTGCGTGGCAACACCAAGGACGAACTCGTCGCCGCGCTGCTGTGAGCGGGGAGGTGGAGACAGGGGGGATTGGGGGTTGAGGGCAAGTGTGGGGAAGTGTGGGGAATTGAAGGGGAATTGGGCTATGGCGGTAAAGGGACGTTGAAGGGTGGAGGTGAGCATGTGGGCATGGGGCATGAGTGGTCGGCAGAGGGATGAGGCGTGGTGCATCATTCAGGCCACGCCTGAATGCCACGGTGTGCTGCCACGCCACGGTGTGCTGCCACGCCACGGTGTGCTGCACATGAGACGAGCTGGTGCACAGCCGAACATGCACGCCTCATGCAGTAAGCGGGCTTTTTAACCTGCTCGCAGACCCCGAGGCCTCACGTCCTTGAGTGCGATCTTCACCACTTACGCCACGTCCTCCCCTCCCCCTCCCTTTCCCCCACACACCCCATTTCCCTCCGTTACCCCTTGACTCCGCAACGCAACCAGCGGCTCATCTTCCCCGTCCGCCTTCTCCTCACCAGCGCCCACCTCCGCCTCCTCTCCCGCGCCTCCTCCCTCCGCCCCCTCCGTGCCCACATCCGCGCCATCGTCCGCGGCGGTGGGCGTGAGCGCGCAGGCGCTGTCCCGCCAGCTGCAGGCCCGCCCGCTCTCGGCCTTGCGCGCCATGGCGACTGCCAAGGGCATTCCGCCCGCCGTCTCCAACAAGGACCAGCTCATCCGCGCGCTCGTGTGAGTTGGGGAAAGGGGAGAGGGGAGGGGGATCGGGGAGCGGAGTCGAGAATAGAGGTGGGGAAAAAGGGAAGGGTCGCTTCGGTGGGAGGGACCCGAGGGGGGAGGGGGGGACAGGGACGTGGGGGACGGTTGGTGCAAAGTAGGTGAGAGATGGGCGAGGGAGGGATTTTAAGTGGTGCGAATGCAAGTTGCCTATCAAATCCCCAGCTGAAGTGACCACGCCCAGAGCGTGTTCTCAGCTTCGACCCTCTTGGTGTCAAGTCGCAGTTACGATGGAACTCCAGAACGAACAGGAGACAAAGAGTGAACAAATAAGCAAACGAACAAAAAATACACAGAAAAGAACAATGCTGCTGGCTAGCTGCTCCTCTTACTCTCCCTCACCTTCCCTTCCCCTCTTCCCCCCCAGTGCGGCAACCACCGCCGCAGCGGCGGGGGTGACGGAGGTGCGGGCGGCGGCGTCCGTGCGGGCGGCGGAGCTGCAGGGGCGGCCACTGGCGGAGCTGAGGGCGATGGCGAGGCAGAGGGGGCTGCGGGGCGACACCAAGGCGGAGCTCGTCAAGCTGCTGTGAGTGGCCAAGGGCAGGGACGGGGGGAGGGGGGGAGAGGAGGGTGGTAAGGGTAGGTTGTGGGCGATGGGGGGATGTGTCAAGTGTGGTGGTTGTGATGGTGGTGGTGGAGGGAATTGCGTGGTGGTGCCAATGCTGCTGATGCTCTTGCTGCTCGTGCCGCTCTAGCTCTTGCGGTATCTTCGGTGTGGTGCCACTAGCCGTGCACAATTTGCTCCATCTCTGTTTACTTTGCTCCCTTTCCCTCGCTCACTCACATAACTCCCTCTCACCAAGTGTACCCCACCCAGAGCCTTCCATTTTTCCTCCTAACTTCCCTCTTTTTCCTTCCCTTAACCCCCTGTGCCCGAACCCCCCTCAATCCCCTCCACAGCACCGCCAGCGATCCCCTCCCCTCCACTTCCATACCCACCACCCGTCCTCCCTCCGCCACTGCCACTACTGCCGCTACTGCCGCCACAGCAGGCGTAACAGCAGTGGCGACGGCAACAGCCTCCCCCTTCGCCTCAGGCATCAACCTCCCCTTCCAGTCCGACGTCCCTGCCGGCGGCACCACCGCCATCCAGCCCACTCCGTCCTCTGCTGCAGCATCAGCAGGGTCAGCATCAGCAGCACCGACAATTCAGGAGGCAATAGAGCTGTTTGTGACGCAGGGGCGGGAGGAGGAGCAAGAGGTGGACGGGCTGTCGGAGCAGGCAGCGTTCCTGCGCAACGTGCTGGTGGGGGGCATTGGCATCGCCGTGCTGCCCCTCATCATCCCCATGCAGTTCACCGCACCCGTTGTCTCCCCGCCCCCACCCACCGCCACCACCCCTGCCGCGGTATGTCCCCTCCTGCCACCGACACCCCCCCCTGCCTCGGAACCCCCCCTTACCCCCCCCTCCCTCCCTCCACCCCCCCCCCCCCCTTCCGGGTCCTGCACTTACATCTGGAGGCCTGTCTTGCTGCCAGCCACGTGCAAGCTCTTTCCTCCCACCTCTAGGCCATGCAGTTCTGGCCCAAGCCGGCCTTGTTTCTCATTCATTCATTTCTACCCTGAAGCCTCTCGGAATCTGCACACCCTCATTTTTTTATTCATATCGCTCCGTCCTCCTTCCTCCCTATGGCTGCTCGTTCCTGCGCCTGGGTCCTGCCCACTGTTCGTGCCTGCCTCTGTTCTCATACATATTCCTCGCCCTGCTCAACTGTATTCCGCTGCTCCTGCAGCCCGTGGCTCCGCCTCCCCAGCCTGCCCCGGACGTGCGGGAGTTGTCTCCGGAGGAGTTCTGCCGGACACTGCCTGCCTCGCTGCTCTCCCCCGAGGCTGCCAGGTTCTGTGCTGCCGTCGTCGATCTGAAACTCTGACCGCACTCTCCACACCTCGCCCCATCCCACCCCACCTCATCGCTCACTGTCCTCACTGTCCTGGGAGCCCCTTTGGTCAAGATTGGCACCGCCAACCTGCCCTGCATCCAAGAGGTGTGTTCCTTCGGAGTACAGTAGGTGCAGAAGTGTGCGGATTTTCTCTGGGCTCGTGTTGATCATAGCAGAGGGCATTTTTCTCTCGTGTGACAAGAGTCAATCAGATGTCTTGGTTTTGGATGGTAACTTTTCTTAGCTGTGCCTAATGAAATGCAATTGTTAGTTAGTAGCTAGTACCTTCTGGAGTGCTCCAGTCCAGGAAGTCACTCTCCTAGAGTTCTCTTCAAACTTGTGCCAGCAAAAGAGTGAAGGGTCTTTCATGGTAGGAACCAACCAGAGTCAACATTCTTCTACCAAGGGTAAATTACTGCGAAGTAGGATTTGTGTGTAGAAAGTATCAAGTTACTAGAGAGTACAAGACACTTGAGTACATCTTGAGTGTTATTCCCTGTATAAGCCTGAATGTTAGCGTAGCGGGAAAAAGTGTGACTAGGAAGAGGAGCGGGAAGATATACGTACAAGAATATTGTCCCCTCTAATAACTGACCTAGCTAGGCTATAAATGATAGGACATGTAATAATCTGTAAAACGGTGCAGAAGACTAAGAGCGTGTTCCTGCTATCAAACATAACTTATGCAATTACTGTAGACTATATATGTTTGTGCCTTAGTGGGTACAGTTCACCAATCTATATTGCCTTGTATCTCCCCATTCTAGTCATTATTCATTCTGATATGGTATCATAGTAGGTTAGGTCCCCCCCCTAGCCCGCCCACGCTTCCGCCCCTAGGCCCTAGCAGCCGTCTTGCCCCGCTCCTAGCCGGCCCCCTGGCCGTCGCGCCCGTCCCTAGCCGGTCCCCTGGCTGTACGCGCCCGCCCCTAGCTGGCCCCCTGGCCGTTCGCGCCCGTCCCTAGCCGGTCCCCTGGCCGTCGCGCCCGACCCTAGCCGGCCCTCTGGCCGTCGCGCCCGTCCCTAGCCGGCCCCCTGACCGTCGCGCCCGTCCCTAGCCGGCCCCCTGGCCGTCGCGCCCGTCCCTAGCTGGCCCCCTGGCCGTTCGCGCCCGTCCCTAGCCGGCCCCCTGGCCGTCGCGCCCGTCCCTAGCCGGCCCCCCTGACCGTCGCGCCCGTCCCTAGCCGGTCCCCTAGCCGTCGCGCCCGTCCCTAGCTGGCCCCCTGGCTGTTCGCGCCCGTCCCTAGCCTGCCCCCTAGCCGTCGCGCTCGCCCCTAACCGCCCCCCTGGCCGTTCACGCCCGCCTCTAGTTGGCCCCCTGGCCGTCGGGCCCGCTTCTAGCCGCCCCCCTGGCCGTCGAGCCCCTCCTAGCCGGCGCCCTGGCCGTTTCTCGCCTGCTTCTAGCCAGCCACCTGGCCGTTTGCGCCCGCCCCTAGCCAACTCCCTCGCCGTCACGACCGCCCCTAGCTGTCATCGCGGCCGCCTCTAGCCGTCGCGGCCGCCCCTAGCTGCTGTCGCGGCCGTTTCCAACCGGCTCACGGCCGCCCCTCGCCGTCGCAGCCGCCCCTAGCCGCCGTTGCTGCCGTCTCCAGCCGCCCCACGGTCGCTCCTGCCGTCGCGGCCGCCCCTAGCCGCCGTCGCGGCTGTCCCTGGCCGCTGTCGCAGCCGGCTCTCCTCGCCGTCGGCCCAGCTCCTAGCCGGCCCCGTTGCCGCCGTTTGCTGGCCCCTCGAGTCCGTCGCCCGCCGGCCCGCCCCTGCATTCGCGTCGTCGCCAGCCCGCCGCCGCCTCGGGTTCGGCCCGTTCTTCCCGATCAGCACCGCCCTGCGAACCCCCCGGTACCGTACTGCACAGCTTTGTACCACACTGCACCACTTTGCACCGCACCGCACCGCCCTATACCGCACTGCACCGCACTGTACCGCACTGCACTGCAGTGCACCGCACTGTACCGCACTGCACCGCACTGTACCGCACTGCACCGCAGTGCACCGCACTGTCCCGCACTGCACTGCACTGCACCGCACTGTGCCGCACTGCGCTGCACTGCACCATCTTCCACAGCTCTACACTGCCCTCTGTTGTCACTGATGACGGAGGTGCTTCGCTTTGACGCTGAGGGCCAGCCGATTGAGTTTGATGCATGGCTTGCTAACGTCCGTCGCCATCTCACTGGTCAGCAGCAGGATAGCCACTCGCTGTCTGTCCATCTTGACGGTACCCTCCCCTGCCCTGACCCCCCCGCTGCGGAGGTCTACTGACCCCTCGTCCGCTGAGCGAGAGTCCGCTGTGGCCGCTGCCCTTGCTCGCTCTGTCTGGCTGTCCCGTGACGCTGTCGCACAGCTTGCCATTAGCAATGCCCTCCCCCTGTCCGAGCGATTTCGCTTCAGGTCTATCACCACTGCCCAGGCTTTCCTAGATGCTGTTGTCCAGCGCTATTCCACCCCGCCTGCTGCCTCGGTAGGTCGTCTAATCCTCCCCATGCTCTTCCCTGACCTTGCGTCGTTCCCCACAGTCGCTGACATGGCCGCTCACCTGCGCACTATAGATGAGACCTGGCGTGCTGCCTGCACTGCCACACAGCTTCTAGCCCACCAGCCGCCCCTCACCTCTACTCTCTACCTGCTAGCCACCCGCCTCCCTGACCGTCTTGCCACTGCCCGTGACCACTTCCTTAGTGTCCACCCCGTAGACCTCACCCTCCCTGACTTTGTTGACACCCTGTCCGCCATATAGGCCCGCCACCGCTCTATCGCTCAGACCAGCGGTACTGTGCCGGTCCCTATCTTTCATTGTTGCGCCCCCGCTCAGTGCACCTTCTCCGACGGTTCTGCTGCTGTGGCTGAGACTGCCGCTGCAGCACAGGTCCGTCCAGGAAAGGGTCGCCGCCCCAAGGCCGAGCGTGGCGGCGGGGGTGGGGGTGCAAGTGTAGGTGGTGCTGGAGCTGGGTCTCCTGGTGGTGGTGCGGACGAGGGGACCCTGACAGGTGCAGCCGAGCAGCCGTCTCAACAGCCGCCGGTGTTGCAGCCGGACTCGCGTTAGCCACAGCAGCCGCAGCAGTCACAGCAGCCGCAGCTGCCGCAACAGCAGCAGAGACGGGCGGGTGGCCTGACGCTGGTGGTAGCGCTGGACGTGGTGGTGGTGCGCGTAGTGGGCTGCCGGGTGGTGGTTCGGGTGACGTGCGCTGTCAGTACCTGCTCCAGACCGATCCTCGCCGTGGCTTCGTTTGTGGTAAGATCCGTCACACCTCTCTCCGCTGTTTCCGTCGCCTGGACGACCTGTTTCGTCAGCGCTTTGGCCCGTCGCCCGAGCTCCCAGACTGGCACTGCTTGCTTCGTCGTCGGGTTCAGATTTTTGATCTGGATATGGATGAGATTGTTGCTGCTCTGCATTTGATGTATGCTGATGACTCTAGTGTACTTCCGTCTTATTACCCCTTGTTGCCTAGTGTAGGTGTGCCTTGCTAAGCCTCCCCTGCTGCGTCAGGCGTAGGATCCCCTGCTTTGTTTAGCCTTGGTGCTTCCGTCGCTGCTTCGCCTCCGGCCGCCACTGCCGCACTCTCCTTCACCCTCGACTCTGGCGCTTCCCGGTGCTTCTTCCGCAACTCCACCATGTTGACACCGCTTCCTGTCCCTGCCGCAGTCTCTCTTGCTGACCCCTCCTCCGGCCCTGTAGTCGCCCGCAGTTCCACCACCCTCCCCTGCCCGGCGGTTCCTTCGGGCTTGCTCACAGGACTGCACATCCCCTCGTTCTGCAGGAACCTAGTTGGTGTCGGCTGCCTTCAGGATCTTGGCATCACCACTACGTTCCCTGGACACGAGCGGTACGCTGTCTGTACCGAGGCCGCCACTGGTGCTCCCCTGTCCACGTTCCACTGGGACCCGGTGTCCGGTCTTTTCACACTGGACACGGTGACCCCCCGGCTCGGACCCCCCCTCAGGTGGCTGCGTCTCCCCCGGTTGCTGCTGCTTGCTTGTGTCGGTCTCTCACCCACCCGACTCTTCTCTGGCACCACCGCCTAGGTCACCCTGCGCTCCCGCGTCTGCATCACATGTCACAGCACGGTCTCGTCCTAGGCATCCCCAGGTCGTTCCCCGAGTTTCCCTCCTCCCCAGCCCCACCTTGCATGCCCTGTGTCGAGGGCCGGCTCCGCCGTGCTCCTCACTCCTCCTCGTTTCCCCCTACCGCAGCACCGCTACAGACTCTGCACATGGACGTCTGGGGCCCCGCCCTCCTCCATGGGCCGCATCGAGAGCACTACTTCCTAGTGCTTGTCGAGGACTACACGCGCTACACCACGGTGTTTCCCTTGGAGTGGAAGGCCGGCATGCCTAACGTTCTCATCCCGTGGCTTATCTCTGCACGTGTCCACCGCGGTCTCCCTGTCTTGCGTCTCCACTCCGACCGTGGTGGCGAGTTTGCCTCTGGTGTCCTTGGTCATTTCTCTCGTGCGGAGGGCATCACCCAGACGTTCACCTTGCCGGACTCCCCGCAACAGAATGGGGTCGCTAAGCGACGCATCGGTTTGGTCATGGAGGTGGCTCGCACCTCCATGATCCATGCCGGTGCACCCCATTTTCTATGGCCGTTCGCCGTTCGCTACGCCGCTCCCCAGCTTAACCTGTGGCCGCACTCCCAGCAGCCTCAGGTTGACTGGCACTTCTACCACCCGCTGTCTCACCGATTCTTTCATTCCCGCGACGTCACCTTTGACGAGTCCATCTCCTTCTTCCGCCGCTACCCCCACCGAGGTCCCCCGGTTACCCCCCCCCTATTCCTGGTCACCTCTTCCCCGGTCGTCGCCGCCCCTCCTCCTCCCCCTCCCCGTCCTGCCCCCTCTGGTGTGTCCCACGTCACCCCACTTCCGTCGGTTGTCCTGGTTGAGGAGTCTGCTGACTCTGGTGGTCCTGCGGCGCAGTCCTCGCCGCCTGCCCCTTCCCAGGTGTCTCCTCCTCCGCCGCCTCTGCAGCCGCCGTCGCCACCGCTGTCGCAGCCGTCGTCCCCGTCGCCGCCGCAGCTGTCGTTGCAGCCGCCGCCGCCGCTGCCTTCGCCGCCGCAGTTCGTTGCCTCTTGGGGTGCTGGATTTGGGGTGGGTACAAGTCCTGGGACTCCTGTCGTGGCTTGTCCCGGCGGGCCTGGGGGTGGTACCGGTGCTCGAGGGGTTCTGAGCTCTGGGGGTGTTTCTTCTGGGGGTGCTGGCGTGGAGTGTTCTGGAGGTCGCCGACATGCAGCTTGCGGTCCCGGTGTCGGTGTCACACCGCCGCCGCAGCAGTCCCCGCCGGTGTCCACTCTTCGCCTGCTCGGCCTTCCGTCCCCTGACCCCGTGCTTGTGCCTCCTCCTGTCTACGGCCCTGTGTTCCCTCCTCCGGACTCATCTTTTGCTCGTTTCCCCCCTCGTTTCCCTCTTGTGTCCCCTCCTCTGTCTCCTGACCCGACTCCTCCGTCTCACGTCTGGTCTCG